ATATATATATGTATATATATTATTATATCATCTTGAGCAACGTATTCATCTAACAGAAACATGGATTATATTTTGAATGCCATCAAAACAAGGGTTCTCAATCAACCTTCCTAATGCCGTGATCTTTTAATACAGTTCCTTATGTTGTGGTGATCCCCCAAACCATACAATTATTTTTGTTGCCACGTCCTAAATGTGTGTGTTTTCCAATGGTCTTAGGCGACCAGAGTGTGAGGGTCCTTCGAACCCTGAAAGGGGCTGCAAACCACAGGTTGAGAACCGATGCTTCAAAATGTGAATGTTGGATAGTTCCACTATTTGGGTTACCTTGTACTTTGTACTTTGGTTGTCTCTTTTTTTCTCTCTGAAGATTCACAAATTTATTATGGCTGTCCTGAAAAAGGGCATATATATGGCATTGTTCACATTATATTATATAGTTGATATGCTGTTGTATAGTTGATCGTGTGTTTGATAGTTGATATGTTGTTGTACTGTTGATCCATTGTTTTATAGTTGATCGTTTGTATTATTGTTGATCGATTGTTGTAAAGTTTATCGGTTGTAACTATGATTCAACTGATATTTTCTTATCTTATCTTTAAAAAAATTTTTTAATTATAATTTTAATATAAATATATTTAAATAAAACAAGTTGAATCCAGTTGTGACTTCACCAAAGACAAAATATCAACCTCAAATTACAGACAACACATCAACCTCAAATAACAGACAACATATCAACCTCAAATAACAGACAACATTTCAACCTCAAATAACAGACAACATACCGACCTCAATTAACAGAAACATACCAACCTCAATTAACAGACAACATACCAATCTCAATTAACAGACAACATACCAACCTCAATTAACAGACACCATACCAACCTCAATTAACAGACAACATACCAACCTCAATTAACAGACACCATACCAACCTCAATTAACAGACAACATACCAACCTCAATTAACAGACACCATACCAACCTCAATTAACAGACAACATACCAACCTCAATTAACAGACACCATACCAACCTCAATTAACAGACAACATACCAACCTCAATTAACAGACACCATACCAACCTCAATTAACAGACAACATACCAACCTCAATTAACAGACACCATACCAACCTCAATTAACAGACAACATACCAACCTCAATTAACAGACACCATACCAACCTCAATTAACAGACAACATACCAACCTCAATTAACAGACACCATACCAACCTCAATTAACAGACAACATACCAACCTCAATTAACAGACACCATACCAACCTCAATTAACAGACAACATACCAACCTCAATTAACAGACAACATACCAACCTCAATTAACAGACACCATACCAACCTCAATTAACAGACAACATACCAACCTCAATTAACAGACAACATACCAACCTCAATTAACAGACAACATACCAACCTCAATTAACAGACACCATACAAACCTCAATTAACAGACAACATATCAACCTCAATTAACAGACACCATACCAACCTCAATTAACAGACAACATATCAACCTCAATTAACAGACACCATACCAACCTCAATTAACAGACACCAATCTCAATTAACAGACAACATACCAACCTCAATTAACAGACACCATACCAACCTCAATTAACAGACAACATACCAACCTCAATTAACAGACACCATACCAACCTCAATTAACAGACAACATACCAACCTCAATTAACAGACACCATACCAACCTCAATTAACAGACAACATACCAACCTCAATTAACAGACACCATACCAACCTCAATTAACAGACAACATACCAACCTCAATTAACAGACACCATACCAACCTCAATTAACAGACAACATACCAACCTCAATTAACAGACACCATACCAACCTCAATTAACAGACAACATACCAACCTCAATTAACAGACACCATACCAACCTCAATTAACAGACAACATACCAACCTCAATTAACAGACAACATACCAACCTCAATTAACAGACACCATACCAACCTCAATTAACAGACAACATACCAACCTCAATTAACAGACAACATACCAACCTCAATTAACAGACAACATACCAACCTCAATTAACAGACACCATACAAACCTCAATTAACAGACAACATATCAACCTCAATTAACAGACACCATACCAACCTCAATTAACAGACAACATATCAACCTCAATTAACAGACACCATACCAACCTCAATTAACAGACTCATAATTCTCCGAATTTAAAAACTGTCATCATTTTCAAAAATACTTGGGATTTTTGTCGTGCTTACCAAATAATTAGGATTCAATTTTCAATGTATTCAGGCGGGGTGTATGATCTGGTGAGGGTGGGTGGGGGGGCGAAGAGATCAATCTCCCCGGGCGCAATCTTCAGGGGGTGTCAAAATCGACCTTTGATCTCTTCTTCTTACTGCTTCCTGTTCAGCGTATCTGGTATTGAGAGTATATTACAAATAATTTTAACGAAGTGGCTATTCGTACCCATGTACCGAAAGTGAGATGTTGGGATTAGAAAAACTAGTTACAATTTTATTGTTGGGTTTGCAAGACAAAATGAGGTATCAAATGAATGATAGTTGAATGAACTATACGTTTTTTAAACTTAATTCTTCAGTTTAACTATAATAAACTACCACAAATGACATCCGAATAGCACCGCGTCAAAATGGACCCGGACACACAGCGCCGCCATTCGCACCCGGGTACCATTAGACTCAAGCTATTCGGATGTCATTTGTGGTAGTTTATTTTAGTTAAACTGAGGAAGTAATTTTTAAAAAAAACGAATAGTTAATTCAAATAACTT